TTCGGATTGGTTGCGGAACGTAATAGAGAACGGCTACACGCTTCAGTTTCGGCGCAGACCACCGCGTTTCAATGGCGTGGTCATGTCGACAGTTCCAGCACACAACGAGCCGGTGCTGAGGCAAGAAATTCTCAATCTCCTCGCGAAACAAGCGATAGAAGTGGTCCCGCCGAGCAAGAGAGAGAGAGCGGGTTTTACAGTCGGTACTTCGAAGCCGGTCGTTCCAAAGAAAGAAAGACCTGAGACCCATCAACCGTGCATTATACAAACGCACTTTCAAAATGACAACGCTAAAGCTGATACTCGCGCAGATTTGACCCGGAGATTGGTTTATTTCGGTGGACCTGAAGGACGCATATTTTCATATCCAGATCGCCACTCGTCACAGACGCTTTCTGAGATTTGCATTCGAAGGCATAGCATATCAGTTCACGGTGATGCCGTTCGGGCTAGCGCTGGCGCCGCGTACATTTACGAAATGTGTGATTGCGGCACTTTCCCCTCTGAGAGCGAGTGGAATACGCATATTGAATTATTTGGACGATTGGCTGGTCTTGGCCCATTTACAGAAATGGGCAGTATTTGAGAGATGGTGTGAATCGAATGGTCGGGACCCAGAAAACTGCCCCGTGTCTGACATTCTGAATTTTTTGCAACAACGAATGGATGGCGGCAGTATGCCCTCCACTCTTAAGGTTTATGTTGCAGCTATCTCAGCCTTTCACGCTGCTATTGACGGGCGCTCAGTGGGAAAACACGATCTAGTGATCAGATTTTTGAGAGGTGCGAGAAGACTAAGGCCCTCTCACCCTCCTACAGTGCCATCCTGGGATCTGGTTCTGGTGCTGGGCGCGCTAGCCCTCCCGCCCTTCGAGCCACTTCAGACTGTCGGCTTGAGGGAGCTCTCACTTAAAACCATGCCGCTGCTCGCCCTTGCTTCGGTCAAGCGTGTGGAGAATTTGCAAGCGCTCTCTGTGAATGCGGACTGCATGCAGTTTGGAGCAGGTGATTGTAACGTCACGCTCAAGCCAAGATTGGGCTACGTGCCTAAATCGCTCTCGACACCGTTAAGAGTGGTGGCGCTTTCTGCTTTCACTTCAGAGTCAGAGACTTCATCGGAATGCTGCCCCGAATCAGGTGTTGTGTCCGGTGCGGGCTTTGCGAGTTTACATCGACCGCATGGCTCAGTTTCGGCAATCTGAGCAGCTGTTTGTATGCTTCGGAGGCAGCACCAAAGGGCAGCCTGTCTCCAAACAACGGCTATCACATTGGGTGGTCGACGCTATTGCCTTGGCATATTCTAGCCAGGGAAGGGAATGTCCTATTGGTGTCAGAGCCGATTCGACGAGGGCATTTCTATCAGATATTTGTATGGCGGCTGGATGGTCTTCGCAGAATACCTTCGCCAGATTCTACAATTTGGACGTGTGGTCATTAGCCTCACAGGTCCTGTCGGTGAGTACGACCCATGGTTCTACCTGCAACCTCTAGCCGTTTGACTGTGCTGGTGGTTTCGACTGGGTCGCGTAGGGGGATCGGGGTTGGGGCCATCGTCATATTCAGACTGTGGCGCCCCGGATGCGGCCGTTCTCTTTGTGTGTATATTGTTGTTAGTATTGTGCCCGGCTTTGCCGCTCACATGCTTCGTTGCACTGTTATATTACATACTTGTATGCATGTATTTGATATGACTATAATGTCTTAGCCTTTGTAGGGCGACGGCGCTGCATCTCTCTTTTAATAAGAGACCTGCCATCGGACATGGATTCTGAGTCACCTGATTGGATCCCTAAGCGGGAATCTACATCCAATCCCCTCGAGGCATGTCGCAGGGTCGTATTTGATTGGTTGGGGATTATTTTTAGTGTCTTGCAAGAACTGTTCATGTTAGCTCCACCGAGGCTGAGCCTTTTTACTTCGCTGCTTCCACGGCATTGTTCTATACCAGGGATCCTCAAATCTGGCCCACGAGATCCACTTTCCTGCAGAGTTTAGCTC